CAAAAAAAGGTTTTTTTTTGGGAAAAAATATTTACGGGAACAAAAAAGGTTTTTTTTTGGGAAAAAATGTTTTAGTTTTAATAAAAAAGGTTTTGATTTTGAAAAAGGTTTTGATAAAAAAAAAATAACAATAGAATTGCAAATGCAAACAGACAATTAATGGACATGCAAACAATCCTATACGACACAATCATGGTTCATACAGATCAAAATCTACGGATCTAAACAACAATGAAGGTTAACATGGCAAGGATGCAAATAAATATGAAAAATGCAAAGGATTTAGTAATTTAACGGACCTAAACACATTAACATGGCAAAATATGCACATAAACATGAAAAGGCAAAAGGTTTAGTAATTTAACCTACGAAGCGGAGGTTTGCTTCGGTAAATGTGAAAAAGGTTTGAATAAGGGAACACTGGAGAGCTCCAATCCTTCGAACGAGTTGTGGGAACGACCGCCTTTCTTCTCTGGGGATCTCCTTTGTTTCTCCCTCTCTCTCTCCTATTTTCTGAAGAAAACCTTCTGACCCCTCTTAGGTTTTTTTTTCATTCCCTCCTTCTTTTCCAACAAGGCAACACATGTATATATAGGGAACAAATTAGGGTTAACACCAAATTGTCAATAATGTCCCTAAAGCCCATTTTAAAGCCCAAACTAAATAATTAGTTAAGAGAAAAAATAAAATTAAAATAATTAAAATAAACTAAAAATAAAACTAATAATCCTATTGATTCCTAAAATCAAAAATATTATAAAAAGAACAAAATTTTTTTCAATATATTTTATTTTATGATTTTTTTTGGATATTTTTATGAATAATTTAGAAAAAAGTGAAAAAAATAATATTTTAAAAAATGATTTAATTAAAATACGAAAATAATAATTAAATAATAATAAAAAACTATTTTTGTTATTTTTTAATGAAAGATAGAAAAATTTAGAGTAAAAATAATAAAGAACAAAAAAAGTGACAAAGGTGAGATTTAATTTTTAAAATAGTTAGAAAAAAAAAAGATTTAATTTTAAAAAGAAATTAGAGAAAAAAAAAAGATTTAATTTTATAAAAGTTAGAAAAAAGATTTAATTTTTTTAAAAAAGTTAGAAAAAAAGATTTAACTTTATAAAAGTTAGAAAAAGATTTAATTTTAAAAAGAAGTTAGAAAAAAAAGATTTAACTTTATAAAAGTTAGAAAAAAGATTTAATTTTTAAAAAAAGTTAGAAAAAAAAAAAAATATTTAACTTTTAAAAAAGTTAGAAAAAAAAGATTTAGTTTTAAAAAAAGTTAGAAAAAAATATTTAACTTTAAAAAAAGGATTTAGCTTTAAAAGGTTAGAAAAAAGATTTAATTTTAAAAAGTTAGAAAAAAAGATTTAATTTTAAAAAAAAGTATTAGATTTTTATTTAAAAAAAAGTATTAGATTTTTATTTAAAAAAAAAGTATTAGAATTTGATTAAAAAAAAAAAGTGTTAGAAATTAATTTAAAAAGGTTATAAAAAATTTACTCTTTAAAGAAAAGAAAAAAAAAGTTAAATTTTAATCTAAATCCTAAAAGTTAGTAAGAAGAGCTTAAAATGATTTAAATAAATAAACTAAATAAAAAAAAGTTAATAAACAAACATTAGTAAAGTTATAAAAAAGGTTAATTAAATTATTATTAGTTAAAAAAATAAGATCTAAAAAAAGGTTAATTTATTAAGTTAATAAGAATTTAAAATAAAAATAAAAAAGAAAGGGTAAAATTTGGGGTATTACACAAGCTCTCCGTGGGATTTTTCCTTGCTTAGTTCTCTTTTTGTTTTTTTTCCCGAGCAGTAGAGGGAGGTCGGCCATTCAAGTTCTTACTCTACCTCTGAGAGGAGGATCGCCAATGTTCATTCACATTCACCAGCCTCTCAAGAAAAGTCTTGTTATCGGTCAAAGCTGTGCCAACAACCACATTCGACCGTGTCAACGAGTTAAATGAGTAAACATAGGTCATTGATCCCTGATTAAAATGGTTCCATACCTAGTATTTGAAAATTCTCTCCTTACACTTTAGTGACTCAGATCTTGAAGGCATGGGCAACGAAACCTTATCTATTAGGGCCTTACAAAAGACAAAATGAGCTTACGGGGTCAGAGGAGTCACAAAAAAATAAAGGTCCTTGAATTTATTCCAAGTTTTAAGGTACACGTCAAATTTTTTACTGGCTGAAAAAGCGAGAGAAACCTATATCCCTTATTCTTGTCAGCAAAGGTCTGATTTATAGTGAAGATATTGAAGAACAAATTCAGAGAATGTTCTTTTTCTTAGAACTTGCACAAGTACTAAAATACTTTGAGGAATGCCCAGACTATTGGGTGCAACTGAGATACAACTATTCAGAGATGCTTCAACACCCCTGCCTAAAAGACATTGAAAGGTAGTTTGAACTTCAGTATTGAAAATAATCATTTGTAGAATGGAATCGAGCACCCATCGTCTGAGCTGGAGATTCTCACGGAGATCTCATCATAGGAAACTGACCAATTATAGAAAGACTCAGCATATGTGATGAACACCCTCTAGATGGGTGATACTGATGAAATAAAAAGCCAGTCCCAATGATTCCTCACCCACCCAGTGGTAATGAATGCCATCTTCAGGCAGCACCAAACCCTGTTATTCCTTCCTAAACATATCTTCCTATTTGTCATGAAAAAGATAATGTTGGTCATGAATTCGGGAATGGCTTTGAAAGATAATATGATTTCTAACCTCCTTGTCACTAGGATCCTTACCATTCACAGCCTTAAAATATTTAATAAAATAACAAGTCAATTGTTTATTTCAGACAACCTCAACATGTCCCAAATCTACAAGGGATTGTATTGGAGAGGGGAACAAACATCCAAACCCCTAACATGAACCTATCATTATCCATCCATTTACCTCCTTTAGAGGAATCATCTATACCTCCAATATAATGAAAACTAGAGAGTTCATTACCATCTTTAACGGGAACCCCATCTAGAACTATAGATCTCGCTAAGCATGGTGAGATTCGTAATGGGTTGGTCAAATTCTAAAGGGTCAACAATTGGCTTTCATGGGTTCACTTTCCTAATAGTGGAAGATGAATATTCATTATTTGTATATTTATTACATTTGTAGGTACATTTTCTATGTGACCCATAGCTAGAACAATGAACTGTAAAGAGGAAAGATAAATATGGTACTTGAGAGAGTTGAAAATGGATATAACAGTTAAAGAAGATAACTCAGAAGACGCGTTTGACTAGGAAATATATAACCCAAGGAATGATAAATATTGATGAAATGGGTGTTACCAAGTTTAAACAAGAAAGTTAAAGTGTAAAGAGTGAAAATAGTTTTGAAAAGAGTAAGGAAGGATAAAGAAGTTGCAGTTTGTGTAAAGATAGAAAAGAGTTTTGAAATCCCATGTGACCTTTATATAGAGAAGCAAAGCAAATTAATCAAAGGCTCAAGATGAAAGAAAACAACGAGGTAAAAAAGCAACAATTAGATTTCGCCTTGGGAACATAATGACACTTAAGTATCCAATGCGTGTCAAAGAAATCCCACGAAATGCCTTAATAGAAATACTCACACTTAACGCACTTGTTCCTTAGGGTATCCATGATGCCTACTAAGTCTCTCCCGCTTCTCCAAGCAATGACCTCGGTGTAGAGAACCCAACACAGTTCTCTAAAAGACTTATCGATGCCACACTACAAAAAGTCTTAGGAACAACAACTTTGAGTCAGCCAAAGACCCAATAACGGGAATCCCACATCTGATCCAGATCTAAAATGCCCCAACCAACTCTCATACGAAATTGGAGATGAAGAAAAATGTATGATTCAAACCATCACTTGCACATTACCCATTATTCTTTTACTGTCTTCAATGTTTGAGTGTTAACCTTGTAGGTCAACTCCATCTCCACTACATTAGAAACTCAATTCTAGGGATGACAAGTTAACTCATCCCCAGTGCATGTCCGTAAAAATTACCCACAATGGATATGGTAAAAATCCGCAAAATAAGTATAGGTACGAACACGAGCAATTACCCCATTAAATAAATTGGGTATGGACGTGAGTACCTTAGTACCCACTTCGCCCCATATCCGCACTATATATATTTATGTACATATTTTTATTTTTATTACTATATACATATACATGTATGTTTATCAATTGTATTAAATACATCACTATTAAACTTGTACGCATTTTAATATAAGTGTGTTTATTTCTGAACTCAACAATAAAATCTTTGAATATTTTTGAATACGGTTAAAAATTAAAAATTCATGATAAATTATACTTGCTCGATAACTTTTTTTATTAGAAATGCCGTTAAACGAGTATGAGTATGAGCACTTAACTGGCCATAGAGTATGAGTACATGTGCAAATGTTTGTGCCCACGTGATCATGAGTTCGAGTACGAGAATTTTTTTAAACTATACGTTTGAGGACGGATACTATCCTACCTAAACCCTATCTATTCTCATCCCTACTCAATTTTATCATGGTAACCATCACCTAGCCGTCTCATTGATCATTTATAATTCTAATTCAGAATAATTCTATTTTTTTGTGATAATAATAATGTTGTCAATAATTCTAAAACTAAAAGATTCACTTTGAGAGTTAGTAACAATATGAGTTGAAAAAAAGAGATATGAAGATATTCATTTTAATTTAATTGTTTACTAATCTATAAACAATAAAATTTAACTATAAAATAAAATATTAATATAAAATAGACATAAAATCTAAGAGTAAATACACGTATGAAAATCCATTTTAGAAATTTAACCTATAAAATGAATTTTGATAGAATTAGTTGATAAGAATCTATATTGATGTTCTTAAATAAAAAATCAATTAAACTTGAACCTACTTTTAGTCAAATTCAGTTTCGTTAGAATTAATTTTGAGAGTCATTGAATGAATTGGCATGGTAATAGCAATAGTATAATTTGATATTGTAAAAGGAGAAGATGTGGTGTGTAAACGCCGCAAGTGGAGTGATCTTGATGCCATCATGCTTTTGCTCTTGTTGGAAATGGAAACTCTACACTCCTCCTCCTACAACTCAATTGCGGATGCGCAATCGCCGTCGGAGTGTGAAGGTGTTTTGTCAAAAAGGGGAAACTGTTCATTCTTCTTATGACTTCGATCCCGAGCTACGGTCGGCGCTTGAACTTGCGACGGAGTCAGAGTTATGTGAAATTCAGACTATCCTTTTCGGCCCAAGGTGGGTGTTTTCTGTTGTTGAATCTTTTCGAATTTCAATCTTTTCGAAATTGAATCTTTTCGATCATCATCACTGATTGAATTTGAATCTTTTCTCATAACTCAGCTACTTGAGTCCTTTGCTCAAATCCATCACAAGGACTACCCTCCACCAACTGGATCCATCCTTGATTGAACAAGACATTCAACTACGCCAACAATTTATAGCCACACTCGAGTCCCGCTTTTTCTACTTAGCCGCGGATGCACGCTCAACACTAAGAGGTTGGAGACCGACTTACAGAAATGTCTTGCTTCACCTAACTAATAAATTCAATATTCCTTGTTCAACCAAACTCTCAACTCACGACCTTGAACTTGAAATATTCCTCCACCTTTTACACTACAACTCTAAGTAAGTAATCAACCTTTTTTCTTCTACACTACAACTCTAAGTAAGTAATCAACCTTTTTTCTTCTACACTACAACTCTAAGTAAGTAATCAACCTTTTTTCTATACTTCTCTAACTAGTTATAATCAACTAATGCCTCCATATTCTTCTAGCCATACAGCCTTATTAGATCTACCCACCAACTCTCATGCTCAGGGAACTCTACAGCTTGGACTCGATCAATGGAAAATGCACTCAAAAGTTGGAACACAAGACTTTCAATCGCTTCTTTTCAAGGTTCTTTTTAATTATTCCCCTTACGCTTCACTTCTTTTCAACGTTCTTTTTAATTATTCCCCTTACGCTTCACTATCTTTTCTATTCTAAACTTTAGGTGATGTTTTCTATTGTAAACTCAGGGAGGTGGTCTACTTACATTGGCAAAGATCTATCAGTTGGTAAAACAATATATTTCTGTTTTATTTATTCTCCAAAACAAACCATTTTGCCTTTTTTTTGCACTTCTTCACGACTAGAAGATGAATTACAGTTGGCGGGGAAATTATCTGGAAAAATGATTGGAGAAGCTGCTAATTACCAGGTTAAGAAAGAGTTATTGAAGAAGGTATGCATTGGTACCAGTACCTGTTTTGGTAGCGTCAACAATAACTTATACATGTATTTTGCTCTAAATGATTTCTAGGGTGGACACTTAGCTTTGATCAATTTAGAGTCCAGAACTGCTTTGCTTGCAGCAAAACAGGTGCCTTACATCATCATTTCATTTACTTCTTTTCTTGTCAATTGTTTCATAAATAAATGTTTTTCATAGGCATGAATGCACAAAATGTATTTCCAGATTCATAGATAAAATTCACTATTTGAAGACAAAACATATTATGAGTTTTTAAATTTCGACTCTTTGTCATCGTAGAACCTTGTAGTAAGATGTAGGAGTACGAATTCACTCTTAGCATTTAAATTATTCTATAGGTAAATACTTGGTTCAGCCTATTTATTTTGATATTTCTGAATCTGCTTAATCATAATACTATTACTGTTTTTTTTTTTTTAAATTGGGGAAGGGGAAATTTATACTAATCACCGTGGCACTAATGCTCATTTTACAGCCGTTCCGGGTGGGATTTATTCTTTCTCCCTTAAGGGTACAAAGTCAAGCTCTTAGCACTGAGCAGACACCTCTTGGACATAATATTATTATATAGTTTAGTTCTACTATGAAAGGAAAAAAATGTATATATCAACATAATATTAATATTGTTTTCAAAAATAATTTACGTTATGTTGATATTTTAAAAAATAGTTATTTTCTTTGTCTCTTACTCGTGTATTGTGTTTTATTTTTTTTCAAAAATAAGTTCGTGTTCCAGTTTGTGTTGGTTTTATACATTTTTATCATCTGAAGTTTGATTTTTGTTCTAGGGTTTTCTTGGTGCTGCATCAAGATATCTGGGTTTTAGAAGCGTGCTCACATTACTTGGACCTGTGTATGTTCTACACCTTTGTTTTAATGATTTTAATTTCTAGCAGTTTGGTATCTGTGTACACTTAACTTTAATTAAATAAGCAACAAATTAAATCATAAAATTAATCAACAACTATGAAAGTATTTTCTCATTAGTTTGAATTAGCTGCATAGATACAATGATTTGTCTTATAATAATTCATGTTTAAGGGAAAATCATTAACTTCTACATTTTCTGTTGTGGTTTAACTTTATAGTTTTTAGTCATTTCACTGATAAAAATCACCAGACACATTTAGATATTATCATATTAATAACAACCTCAGCTTCAGTGTTTGTTCGTATTTTATTTAGAAGAATTTATTAGATTTGTTTGTTGATTATATGAATAGATCTGTTCTCGTTCTTAATGATTCGTTGTGATAGGCTCTATATCTGAGATTTGTGCAAGGTTTTCTCTACATCATAGGTCCTTTTTACCATATTGCCCATGAAGCAAACCAAATTCCCTTACCCAAAATCCCCCAAGAAAACTACCTCTGGAACTTCAATTCTTTACCTAGGACAACTTCTCTATCTCACTCTTCTCATGAGTAATGCATATGATAGACCCACATTAATGACAAGCCCATTAATGATGTGTGTATGCTTAAGCATATTTACACTTCTAAGCACTGAGTCAACAATAAATGCCATGATTGTGGTGTGAGAACAGAATTAGAACCCTAGAACCTTTAGGGTGTATATATAATATGGATTATAACCTGCTATCTCTTCAATGACTATGGAAGCAGTGTTTGGAAAGGGGAGGGGTGGCCAAGAGTCATGTGCGGGATGTAGCGGCAATATGTGTGATTGATGTAGGAAGCCGAAAACAACATTTTAATAATTTCTGCATTTTTCTATTTTATTTTTGTTTTGGACTATAGAGTTTTTTTTTTTTTCTGTTTTGAATTAAAAGCTTATTAGGGTTTCTTCTTATGTGTTTAAACACCTTTAGGTGTGGCTGTCGAGGTTATCTTTGATCATAATAAAATTCAAGAGTTCCTTTTCTCTTTTTGGTGGATTCCAGAGTTCTATCTGACACGGTTGTCGCTTGCAAACATGTATTTTCATTCTAGGTCTAGTGCTTGTTAATCCGTAGTGTTTTCGACTGCGTCAAATGGCATCAGAGTAGGTTTCTCTTGTTTCTTTTCGTAGCTTGATCATATATGGGAGATCAACTGGTGACCAAAGCAGATCTTGAGAGAATTATCGCAAATTTTGCCATGACTCTAACTGTTTTGACCGAACATATGGCAACTTTAGCAAATCAGGTGAACAGCGCCAACAACAACAACGAGAATCAGCGAAGAGATAGGGGATGAGAACATGTTAGGGTTCCCCGAGGCAGAAACAATCGTGTTGTTGTTATTGCAGATGAGACTCTTTATCAAGAAGAGAACTCGGGGTCGAGTTCTTCGAAGGTGAAGGAGACTGATGTAAGAAGACCAAAAACAACATTTAAATAATTTCTGCAATTTTCTATTTTAGTTTCGTTTTGAACTAAAAGTCCATTAGTGTTTCTTTTTCTGTTTTATTTCTATTTTAGATTAAAAGTCCATTAGGATTTCTTATGTATTGGGTGTGACCGTCAAGGTTATATTTGATCATAATAAAATTCAAGAGTTTCGTTTCTCTTTCCGGTGTGGATTTCAGAGTTCTATCTGACAGGGTTGTCGCTTGCAAACTTGAATTTTCATTTTAGGTTTAGTGTTTGCTAATCCGTAGTGTTTCTGACCGAGTAAGTGATTATGGAAAGAGGCCACCAAAAAAATGCAGAGGTTGGATGGCGGGGTGGGAGGAGGAAGTTGGAGAGATCATCGTACCTCCGATGCACATATTTAGTCTGGACTAGTAATTTATAAAGTTGTAGATCTAATGTTTTATGTGTTGTGCATCTGGCAAACCATTTTTTATGTGTACCACATGGTCCCTTGCTTTTATTTCTCTGTTTCGAATGGAGTTTGTTTGTTTTTTTTTTTTTTTTTTTTCAATTTTTAATTTCAGTTTATCCTAGCTGTCGGTAGACATCAATGGATTCTCTACCTTCCACATTTGGTGACTTTTGTGACTTAAGTTTATTTGGGAGAGAGATTTATGATTAAAATAAATACTTTGCATGAAATAGAATAATTTGGTAGTGAGAAAGAAAGTTAGCAAAGGTGGGAGGAGTCGACTGAAAGGTAGAAAATGCCGATGGATAGACACCTTTCTGTTGAGTTGTCAGGGAACTCCATTCGCCATTTCTTTTTTCAGTAGAATGTACCATTAAGATTTATCAGCTGCTTATCTATTCCCTCCCCACACTCATGTTTTATTAGTGTTTGAGGTATTTTAAACGTTATTTCTGATTGGTTTTTTGTCATTTGGAACAGGCTTTGGGGAACATTTCTGGCTGATCTGGTTATTCAAATGCTTGGAACAGATTATGCTAGAATCTTGCGAACAATTTATGCTTTAGCTCAGGCAATATTCTAACTTGTATGCCCGACTTGATTTGCTTTGCTCTGTGTTTTGCTTATTTGGTGATTTATTTGCTTTGCTCTGTGTTTTGCTTATATGGTGATTGCGCACCTATGCTCTTTTAATATACTCACCCCTCTCCGTATCTCTTCAGATTTGCCTCTCAAACTTATCAAACTTATTAATCTTTGGGGCAAAAGATGATATTGGCAAATCTATATGTTTTATGTGTAATAGCATGATGATTTTGCCTATCATAGCCACAAAGCATTACTTGATAGTTTTCTGACTTCCACTTTTGTTCTTTGTTTTTGCTTCAGATTCGTGTCATCCGCACATATAAGCTGCCATCTGATGTCGCCGACGAATAGCCAAGTTGTTCCTTTTGAGCACGTTGAAAATTTTGAAGTATCATGTAGCTAAACAGTTCCAAAGTAACACAGGCACCACTCTTAAAATTTGTAAATATGCTCCATGCATATATTTTTTTGCTGCTGAATTAAGTCATTCCTCTGAATATTTATTGGTTTTTAGTAAATAATTCAAAGATGGAATACTTAATTTTATATTGTATAATGCTATACTTTTTGTTAAATTAAAAATATTTTGTTTAGACTAAATTAGTGTTTTAGTCGGTTAACTTAATTTTAAATTTCCCTTTGGCCTTTTAATTTATTTTTTTTGTCATTTCCATTTGGTCTCATAACATTCACTCCCCAAATTATATATATAGGGTTTCACTTTCATACTATTTCTTCTCTAAGCGAAATGGATGTGAAGCATAGAAAGAGTACCAAATTCCCTCTTCCACTTACTCAAATCTTTTGGTAGCAACAAAAAGGTAACTCTAAGTTAAGGAAATTTTTTAATGTTTATATTATTTGGGCATCACGTGAAAATATAAAATGTCTATTGGTACTATGAATTTTTTTACTTAATTATAAGTGACAAATATTAATAGAACAACAATAAATATGTTATGTGGGAAGTCAAGGTAAAATAGAGTCGAAGGGAGACCAAGCTAACTTAAGGTTGGAGGTCACCTATAGTGATGTCGGTCAAAGAAGCGGTAGGTCGAAGGATGTTGAAGAGTTTAGAGATTTAGTAAAATTTAGTACTATGCTATGTTGATTAAGGTTGGAGTTCATCATTACAATGGGAACAATGTTGATTTGGATACTGCATTTGGAAAGTACTATAGAGTGTGTTGTCGTAGCATGATTAACCCAGAGGACTTCGACGTAGAAAGTCATTTCTTGATGACTAGTAAAAGTAGTTAAGATATTTGAATGATATTAAAAGAGCGAGAACTGGTTTAACATATACGGTTACTCGAAGACACGTGGAGGTTCGTCGGAAGAAACTGTTGCATGAGACTGAAACGGCCGTGATAGGGCTATTCGACCGTTCTTAGGTAGTTATTTTAAAATAGTATATAAAGGGACTCATGTTCATTTTGTAAAGGGTTCGCAATTGTACTCATATCTTTGTAAACTCAGTATCTGTGCATTTGAGAAATGAGTGAAGAAAGTGTACGTATGCGTTCCACCTTTTATAAATTTTAAGTCTTTTTACTTTCAAGTACTTCTTCTTCATTAAGTTACTTTTCGATTTCACTTTACAATTCATACTTTTACTTCGTGATGCATTTCGATTTCAGTCTGTTCTAAAAACCTATATTTCCAAGTTTTGTTTCAAAGTAGTATTGAAACCTTCTTTAAAGCATTACCCTTCGATTTCGACAATAAAATGTTGTTCAAATGCATAAATAGACACAATATGTTCAATAAGATTTTCGATTTTGATCCGTTAAGTGTTAATAGAAACTTATTTTGTTTACCAAATTTCATAGTAAACAAATTGGCACACCCAATATAATCTTTTTGAGTGTGTTTTTACTTTGCATTTTTGAAAATTATGGTTCTCCATTCCATTAACTTCACATTTTGTGAGTGCGAGTGTGCCTAAGATTAAGATGTTGTAAAATAACAAAAAGAGAAGTTAAGTGATCTGTTAGGAGATATGTTAGGAGGATGGCGATTCCCATGAATAACAATGGAAAATAACCCTTTAATAGTGTTGGAACGAGTACAATTTCTGCAATAGTGACTGAGCCCATTCCTTCGACTGCTAGTACTACGGTGATACTGTATACGACACTTGCACCAATAACTCTACTAGAAGGGATAGTTTTGTCCCCAACACCCCAGAGTCACCCAGTGACTCTTAGACCTATTGCAGCGTCAGACTTCAGGCCTTTTGCCACGAATTTCACAATGTCCATGCCAGAGCGTGAGCAACCTTATGGAATGCCAACAACAATGATGGAAACTTTACATAATAATCCATCGATGTTTGTTGATAAGGATGCAAATGGATATTCGCCAATAATGGTGTCTGGCTCAGCCATAAGCAACCTTGGTTGAACTATGCCACCCCAGATGGGAATGGGATTTGGTTCCCACATGATGCCTACTTTGACGACGAATTCTGTCATGACAATGCGGAAATAGATGGATGAGAGTAACCATGATATGGTAAATACTCTAACACAACAGATATGTACAATATTCAACCAATTGATCTAAAACACGAATCAGAGTTACGAGTAGTTGGCAACTCAAATGTCAAGAATTGCTGATTTTTTGGGCGCTCTCCTAGTGCAGGTTCGACCTATTGTTCAACCCCAAGTCATTGGATAGGTGCAAAATGAAGGGGCGAGTTTGAGGAAAACACTATGAACCAGGGACAACAAGTTGTCCCCCAGTTGTTCGAACAAGTTTTTCCTAGAGAGGAAAAATGCCATGATCATTAATCAAAACGAGGACGCTGATCAAGTTGTCCATCAAGTTCAACAGGGGAATCTGTTAGACGAAAATAACCTTGTAACCATTTTTGAAAGGATAATGATACAAAATGGGGGTAAACATGGCCTTGCAAAGGCCAAATTTCACATCTCTCCTTTTATAGTACATGTTGCAAACTTAACTTCTAAGGGGTTGGAAGGTCCCCAAATTTACGAAGTTCGCTGGCGACACTGATAAGTCTACCGTCAAGCAAATTGCTCGATACTTCACTAAGGCAGAATAACCAATAATGAGAATCTAAGGATGAGATATTTTCCTAGTTCTCTAACGAAGAATGCTTTTACATGGTTCACCACCTTGCCTGCTCATTCAATTCGCTATTGGACTCGATTAGAGAGGTTGTGTCGTACCTCGAAAAATACGATCCTCGCGATGGACGCGGAAAAAGGTTCGAACAGAGTCGCCACCGAACTTTATTCATTCCAAGGAAGGAATAAGAAAATATCGATAAAACCTTTAAAGAGATAAGAACATGGTCATCGCAACCAAATTCTAGGTTCGGGAGTCGATTACGCAAGAGGGAAGGTATTAATACCCTTTACATCTGTTGTACTCAACGAGAACCTCTTGATTCGACTCGTGAGAGAAGTTAGCTATGTTTGTTTATCTTATAATGGATTCGCTTCTAAGGGGAAATGAGAGATTTTTATTAGGGTGCTTGCCAAGGATTGGGGCCCTTGTGTCTACGTACTCCCTCGTGCAATGGGAAAGTCAGAGCATCATAGTTCGTGAGACTACGGGTAAATGTTTGTGTATGAACGAGTGTTTAAGTCACATTTTAACTGAAGGTGAGAAAATACTTAGAAGGGGGATTGAATAAGTATATAGAAAAACTTATGGCAATAAAAACTCAAGGATTTTTATCCTGGTTCGTTGAACTCAACTACTCCAGTCCACCCTATCAAGAGTGATTTTCCTTTCTCAACAAGGACTTAATCCACTATTAATCAAACTGATTACAATAGCAAGCACTAAGAGCAAATGTTCTTAGTCTTCTTAAGAACTACTGATCCCAACTGGATCTTCTTAAGGATCTTTTACAATCAAATGTAAGAATAAAACAAGTGTTTAAATGCTTATAATTAAGCTATATCACAATTGTGATTTTACACTTAAGTTTAAGAACAATGAAATAAATTCAGCAATGAGTATAGATTGTATGAGAGCTTGTAATGAATTTCTTTCAAAGATTTCGTCAACTGAAGAAGAGTGATGATGTCTTGCTTTTATAGGCACAGAGGTCCAAGTAGTTTTCACGTTGAAGGCTGTGTACTGAAAAGGGCTGAGCCTTTTTGTCTTCATATCACATGACCTTTCCTAGAAGTAGAATGCACAAATAAATCCTTTTTGTCTGTGTTCTTGTGTCTAGCATAAATGAGGAAAGATTCGTTTGGCCAAACCAACGGACATAACTTTGAATTCTTCTTCAACAAGTTTCAGCAAATATCATCAGAGTCTTGAGTGGTCAGAGTCTTCTGATGTTCATCAGAGTTTGCTGAATCAGAGCAATGCAGCAAGTGTGCTTTCATCGTGTAATAATTCAGAGCAGAGTTTGGAATCAGATTCTCAGTACTGGCAGTGTAGTACTTATCAGAGTCTTCTGAAAAATAAACTAAGCTTGAAACTCTTCATACAAAAGTCTTCAATGCTTCAGATGCTTCTGGCTTCTGCTTCGGATTCTTCTGTAGCTTCTGCTTCAGATCCTTCTGTAGACAGCGCTCAGAATCTTTTAAGAGATGCTTCTGACGCTTCAAAGTCTTGCATATTTTCATGTTCATATTTAATTTGCTTCTAGAATAGTATTCACTTTAATATCTGCAGCACAAATTACTTGAACAAATTTTAGAGTATATAATTCTTTAATACAAAATTTCATAAGAGTTATCATCAAAACATAGAGATATAATTAAGAACCAATCTGTGTTCTAACAATCTCCCCCTTTTTGATGATGACAAAAACATAAGAAATTTTGTTCAATAAAAATATAATTATAACTCCCCCTGAGATAATGAATCTCCCCCTGAATTGAATACTTAGAAGGAATAGAAACTTCCCTTTTTGTATGAGCATTATTTACAAAATCAGAGCCAGATTGTTCCAAAAATTATATCTTGACTTTTGGATGCGCATTTCAGAATCAGAGCCTGATAGGTTAAAACTTGATCTGGGGATCTCAGAGTTACTTTTAAAGAATTTTTCAGATTTTTCAAATGGTCTAAAACACTAAGAGTTCACATTAGTTAGAATTAGATATGTCTGAGTTTAATTTAGGTAGAGTTTATTTGAACAGTCAGATCCATTTTCTCCCCCTTTTTTGTCATAATCAAAAAGTAAAACTTTTAAAGACAAATAAAAGGAAATAGAGAAAAGATTCATTCATGTAGAGAAAACAACAGAGTCATTCATTCAGATACAAAAACAGACACATCATCAGATAAATTCAAGTACATGTGCACAAACATCAGAAACAGAAAAACATAAACTAGGTTTGCCTGGAAAGAAT